TAGTCATAATACTCAAATTAACTTTAAAAAAGAAAGAGTATTTCCTACTTATTATAGTCTGTATGTATAAATACAACTATAAATTATTTCGATCTTGCCAAAAATATAATTTTGCGATTTAATTCTAAGAGTTAAATAATGTAGTTTTTAAAAAAACATATCCTACAGTTATGTATGAATATTTGTGATAACAATAAACTTTCGATATAAGATTTACTGAGAAAACTGCATCATTGAATTAATAGTTCGGACAATTAAAATTGCAATAAGGATCGTCCCCTCTATGTTCAACTAATCTAATAAATAACATTCAATAATAATCAATTAAATAATTAACAAAAATGAAAACAATAAATATAATTGTAACACAATTAACTTAAAGCATTAATTCAAATTAATATTTTCATTTTTATAATAGCGCCCAAATTTGCCCCTCCAATAAAAGATCCGAAATCCCGCCTCTGAGTGTGACACACCTACTAGGATAGTTTTAAATCCTGAGCGGGGCAAAGAGTATAGCGGAGTGGAGCGGGGAGCTTTGTAATTCACTTGGAAAAAGCGATCGCGTAGATAGGATTAGAAGAGTAAGGTAATAAGGATGTGGTAGCAGATCTGGTATAATGGTGTGGCAGTTGATCTTATGTAGAAGGCCTTTGGGCCAGACTTTGTCAAACGCTTGCTGGATGTCAAGGAAAGCTGCAGAACAGTACAACATCTTTCCAATACATTGCGTTATTTGCAGGCGCGAATCCACGAGGGAACTCCCTCCTCCCTTACATTTTTCAATAACTAATATCACTGATCGGCAAGGTTCTTCTTAAGAAATCTGATTAGCGAATCTAGTGAGTTTTTTTTTAGTACTGAATTTAGATATGTATTTAGAATTTTTCCTTCAGGCACAGTTTTTTTGCCAGCTATTATTTAAAATCTGATTTTATCAATTTATTGTCCTATCATAGAAACCTTTGCCTCACATGTAGCGAATTTATTCAAGCTGTATTGAAGGGCATTATGTGTAATATCATGCTGAAACACCAACATGCAATACTGTGCAGATTCATTCATGTTTTGACATGCTCAGACCAGTTAATCTCGCATTTTGATGTGTCAGTATTGAAATGTCTATGAGCTTGTTATCACGAATATCAATGGTGATATATTTCCTTCCTTTATGTTAAGAGCTGTGTAAGCTATGTTTTTGTGTTTTGTATTTTCATCATGCCAAGAACGTATGTAAATCATGCAGATAATTTCTATTGTATTTGTGGTGAGCTAACTTGAAAGACTCAAAGGCGAAATTTAACCACTCGCGAAAAAATGTTATCAACATTACTTTGGCTGTCAAATGGGTGATTTTGAAAAGAGCTGTGTCCCAAATATATGTTTTGTGTGTTAAGACTTGTCTCGATCGAAAAATGGTACATATCATATTCATATGTCACTTGTAATTCCTATGATTTGGAGGCAATCGAAGGATCAAGTGATTGTTTTTTTCTGTTTAATAAATATTAAAGGAATGTCGTATACCTGACGAGAAAAATGTGTTACATGTCCATTTACTGAATCCTGAAATATATTTATCTCTATTTCATATTAAAGGAGGAATGAAAAATTTAGTAAAAGCTATGGATCAACTTTCTGATGGTTTCTTGTACTTGAATCGTAATTTCCCTAAGTACGTGATGCTAAATTGAAAGAAGGGATATTTTTTACCACAAACGCCGTCATTAATGGCTGGTGAACATTTAGAAGAAATGTTAACCCACTGGAAAAAGCTGTCTGGCAGTCTTTCAAAAATGTATATTGTAATTTCATTAAAAACTACAAAGTAGAAAACTTTCAGACATAGTTGCTGATGTACGTTCTTATAGAAAGCCATGGGATGCAACATGTCCTTAAAAATTCACATGTTAGTCTCTGACTTAGACTACTTCCGTAAACTCTTGGGGCTGTCAGTGACGACTTAGACTGTGATGAGCATTTTCATAAGTGGATGTCTACAATGGAAAACATGTCCTAAGGCAAGTGTAGTTCTAACATATTGGCAGACAACAGTTGGACAAAGAAGAGAGATGTTCCAGATAATTTGCCCAAAATAACAGAATATGACCGAAAATCATTACCACCTTCTAGGTACAGAATGAGCAGTCAGAATGTCAGTCAGGGAGAGCAATATACAATTTAGAGTTGGATAGTTAGTTACTGATTTTATTAAAAAAAATCAAATACATATTACACAAAACCTCTTCCTGATGAGCAAAAACAAATATTTAAATTCAGTGCGAAAAATACTTATAGAATTTGTTACTTTCCTTCTTTTCAAGAAAAAAAAAAGGTTTACTTTAGGTAGACCAGGGTAATTTCAACTTGTCAAGAAACTTTCAATCAAAAATATTTTCGGATTATCATTAAATCGAATAAAATCACATCGCAGTATGAGCTGATTGTAGCCTGCGATGTTTTACAAAATCTTTAACATGACACATTCGACCAAAATATTTTGAATTACCCCTCCCAAAATTTGTCTCTGGATCCGCCCCTGGTTATAGTTTTTACTCAAGTTTGTTGAAGTGTCGAATGCCCTTCTCTAAATCCGTATTAGAAGTCCGGGATTTTATAAGGATTTGAGGCTTAAGGCGCTTTAATAATGGTTTTTTGAAAACTTTTGACAGTACTGGTAAGACTTGTAGGTGTATAAGAGGTCACTTCCGTGGAAGGTTTTCCTGGTCTTACTATTACCGTTATTTGAGAGTACTTTCATTGACATGTATAGTGACTATTTCGAAGCAAAACATTAAATAATGGTGTTACAAATGCAAGACTTTTTTCAGTAGTTCTAGTTCTATTTAGCCTGTAATGAGAGCGTAATCTGGACTTTTTGCAGGATTTGTATGTATTTTAATTGCTTATATTTCTTGTGAGTTAAAAAATTTAATGGGAAGTGATAGTTGAAGAGGTGAATTTAAAACTCCAATACTTCATTTTCAGTTGTACTTGAATTTTCAGTTTCAAAATAATCTGAAGTGAAGAATTTTGCAAACCATTCTGCTTTTTCTTCTGTGACTCGTGACAAAGAACTATTAATTCGACGTATTAGAGGAACCAGTTGCTGTGGACGTTTCAAGAAATACAGAGAAAAAAATTTACTTGAAGGAGAAATCTCTTCAATTTTAGTCTTCCTATAGAAAAAAATTCAAACGTTTGAAATTTTCGAAAATTAATCATAGTTAACAGTGACAAACGGACCTATACCATCTTTGTAAATGTATTTTACTCTATTCTTTCGAAAAACGTAAAGAAAAAGTTTGGAGACATTTTTGAAAATGTCATAGGGGCTTCAAGTAAAGAACCTCCAAATTTTAACGAATGTTCATCAAAATCGCAAAGTTTTGTCTCGAGCCAGATCGAGAAAAAAAAAGTTGAAAGCAAAATTGAATAGCAAAATACTATTGCAATACCCATCGATTGATTAAAAGACTGCGACCTGTGTGATCATTATGTCTTGTGTGCTACATGTTATATTCCAGGTGTCGGTTTTCCTCTCACACTGAAATGTGAAATTCACCATTGATTCACATATCAGCTTGCAGGGTTCCTTCTCCAGGTATCTCCCTCACGTGGGGCACCGTTCCAGCAGGGACAAACTCTACATGTTGTGGTTGTGTAGTGCATGTAAATGTATGTTTGAAGAAAGGAGTTAAGGATGAGGAAAGAAATATTGCACGCATACCTCAACTCTCCTGCCAAAATATTAGTTTATTAGCTCATTACAATACTTTCTCAATATTATGTAAGAAGTGTGCTAGAAAGTAAAATAAGGTCAATAGTATCAAATATTAAATTGTTTTTGAAACTGTCATGGGCACCAAAACAAACTTGTTCATCTAATTCTTTGAGATGTACTTGGTCAATTCTTGCACTACTCTAGACACATCGGTCGTTACCTTGTTAGAAGTCACACCCACATGCCAAATAAACCTACCTTTATTCTGGGAGCACAAAAAAAGAAGGCACTTATCACAAGTGTCCGTGCCAAGTAAAATACGTACATTAAAAATTTATATTGTAGAATTATTTTGTCAGTTTTTTAATTTCGAAGTGCATTTTCGGGCAGTTGTTAGTGGTGTTGACTCTGATTTGGCCAAATTTTTCCAGGGTAATTTTGTACGTTTATGAACATTTTTAGCTTACCAATTTCAGTGTTTTGGCCAATTTTTTTGTTTCTACAGGGAATTCAGACTAAATTGGCCACTTTCCGTGGGAAAATTGGAAAATGTTTGCCCCAAATTCATTCGTTACACTAAAAGAATAATATTAAGACATTTTTTTTATTTAAAAAATAAGTAGTTTAGCACAATTTTTCATTTTCGAAATTGTTGATTCAAATTTCCTGCAATTCTTTTGCTAGAATCCTTCAGGAGCAATAAGGTTGCGTTGCAATAATAGGATTTCAGCTGTTTTAATTCTCCGAATCAGTTCTCGTTGTTGGGTGGCGTTCCTGGGTGTAAGGAACAGTTTTCTATATTGTCGATTTTGTGTAATGGATTAGCTTAAGTTTTAGCACCTAATTCATTGAGTGGTATTGAGGGTTGAAAATTGTTAATATAGACAGAAATTACTGATTGAGGTATAACTTTACATCAATGTTACTGAAGTGATAAAATACATTCTGTTGAAACACCACTAGTTTGAATATTAAAAGAACTAAGCATATTACT